ACTCGCTTCCACTCACTTCAAAGTGCGTTGTCTTTGCGCCGCCGCCGGTCCCCGCGGTCAGCACCATCTTCTCCGATATTGAGGCGGAGAAGCGTAGACTGGACCGACAATGTGAAGATCTTCTCTATGCCAAACAAAGGTACCTCTACTACTACTCTGCCTTTCTCGCTGGGGTTTTTTTCCGCAGCGGACTGAGAATAGCACGCACCAGTGCTGGTCGGCAGTGGGCCATGAATAGTATATTTTGAAGTCCAGGGGCCCCGCCGTTACAAAGTTAGTGCTGTAGTAAAAATAAATACAAAGTTGGTAATAACAGCGGCGTTTTAGCAACTGTATGAACAACAGAAATGCTATAAGTCATATCCGATTCACAACGGGCAGTCATTTAAAACAATAGTCAGCAATATTTGGCAAATATGGTGAACTGAAAAAAGAAGCAATAAACATAAAACAGTTAAGAGAATTGTACTCTGGATTCTATTCTAGTTCGGTCATCGTAGAGAGAAAGACGATGTCTAGGAAGGACCAATAATTTGAGGACACTGGATGGGCGATGAACGGACATACAGCTAGGTAGAGAGACTGACGCCATTGTCACTATATTTTGGCCATCAAGCAGCCACACAGCGGTTAGTAGTCAGGGCAGATGGCATGAACTGCAAAGACAGGGCGGCCTGGAATGTAGCCATTCTTGGCTCATTAGCCCTAATCAGCCAGCCAGCTATGTCCAACCCCAAGCGGTGCACCACCGGAGACACGAACTCGCAAATATTTTTTATCAGAGTCTAAGGCTCTAACCACTGAGCCACGTGCTCCTTGTCTTGCGGGTTTATATAGACAACTTCCTCACCTGTTGCATCTTAAGCACAACACTGCTTGACTAACAAAGAATGTTCTAAAGGCCTTTTGGGCACTTTTGGTTCCTACGAAACTAACGTAGAATCTTCTCCCTAGCAGCTTCCTTGTGCGCGCGCGATCTAGTGACGTGAATACGTAGTCAGACCAACGTTACTTTGAGCCAACCAATCGGTGAGCGCCAGAGCTCTCGCTCCTCTTCCTCCAGTTGCCTCAAGCGACCGTCGCAGGGCTGTCCACCAACTGCTTTCGTTGACGTCAAACAACCGAAAATCTAGCTGCATGATGCCTCCCGATCCTTATCACGTGCCCACTAGCTGAAGGCTTTTGTGGAGCACTTGCCTAATCTGCCTCACTGAAACACCACCCCCTTATCCCCGACTTTAGACATTCCAGAACCGAGTAAATTAACAGAAGTATATGCGATCTAGTTGTAGGAAATTGACTCAAATACTCGACTGACGTGACTAACCGGTAACTCGATTTACCGCAGTTTCAACCGACTTGTTGGCCGAGTTTTTTTAAAATCTTGGGCAATTGCCTTTTGTGATTGCTGTTGTTTGTCGTAAGGTTGTAACATTTATATGTCTAGAACTATTGAACTTGAAAAATGGAATGACGGCTTCCGAGCCACTATGCTCGCCCGAGCGTATGTATAGGTGCATCATCGTGGTCTAGGTATAAGAGGAAATGCATTGCACTTTAAGAGCTTACATGCTCTCAAACTCAGTCACCAACTGGTCATAGCAAAGAAATGGTTGTCCTTTAAAGTTTTTCAGCTTCTTAGTAAGCGCCAAGTAGAAAATGGATTCAAGCTTTTGACTGATTATTTATTGCTCATCAGCTGTTTGATCTCCCTCTCTTCCTCTGCTTTTAGATACACTGCTGAATTTTGTGACCTGATACTCAGAAGCCTGAGGGAACCCCATCCTTCCACGCTTACATGTCCAATCGCTTGATATCTCTCCCCCCCACGTGTTCTTCCAATTCTTTCCACGTCTGTCCTCCTCCAAGGCTCAGAAAGTCACGTTTTGTCGCGTGCGCGCTCGCGCTCGAACGTTTTATTTGTACATCTTTTATCACCACCACCTCCTATTGTGTAACGCTCCTTTTCATTTTTCTACCTTCGCGATCATGTTACTATGGAAGGTCATAAAAAAGTCATATTCGTCTTCCCTACGATATCCTTTTTCGGCTTTATTTCCGAAGTGGATCGCGTTTTTGTGTCACCTCGACGAGCGTCGGCTGTGTTCGCTTTCTTTGAGGAAAACCGACAGTTAGACCGTCGGTCTCGACGATGTCCACCGCGAGCTTCAGCATGCTGAAGGTAGGCGCGGTGACTCAACACGGGATTATAGTGGCGCACTCTCTCACCACTCCCACAGCTGTACCCGATGTCAGGAAAAGAGTTTAGAAGACTGTATATGGAAGGGGGGCGCAGGCGGCTGGTGCAACGAACACTCGCGTCATAGCAACACCTTGTTAGCTAGGCTCCCGCATACGCGGGGGTGCCATAAAGGTC